ATATTAATTATATTAATTTTTATGTTTATATTTTTTTAATCTTATTATATTGTTTTTATATTTCAGCCTTTCAGCTATTCTGTGTCAAGAGGGGGTTACAGAGGTTACATTCATTGTTTATTATTATATCTATATCATTGTAGCCATCATTGAATACAAAGAAGAAAAAATCAGGACTTGATTATCATTATTTTATAAATATGAATACTGACAAAGTATTATGTCCAATATGTGCCAAGGAATTTGCTTCTTCTATTATCGAATCTCATGCCAGCAAGTGTTTATTCCTGAATGAACCTATAAAGGACGAAAATGCAATGTTGTTTAAAGATTCCAGCCCCAGGAGTATAAGAAGCAAACTAAAGCCAGCAAGTGCAAAAAAAACTAATCAAATATCTGTTAAAAGGAAGAGTTCTTTGGACCAGTTTTCTTCCCAAAGTTTCAGGGATGAAGAAGATGCTAAAGATGCACCACAGAAAAGTGTAATTTTTTATTCTAAAACTATAATAATTATAGTGTAATAAAATAAATTTACACAATCACATAAATGACATACAAAACTATAATGCTCAACTTTGTATTTTGTAATATGCTTAATCAAATTTTTCTGCGTTGCAATTTTTCCTATAGAGAGATTCTTAAATATATAAAAAATATATAATATATATATATATATATATATACACATATATATAACAACTTTTATAGACAGAAAATGAATGCAAAAAGTTACGCGGAAACGGACGGGATGTACCCCTCGCAGAACAAATGAGACCTACATCACTATTAAACTTTGTAGGCCAAAGACATATCCTTGGACCTCGCACCATACTCTCCGAACTCTTGCAAAAAGGCGAAATACCTAATATGATTCTCTGGGGTCCGCCTGGATGTGGCAAAGTATTATTGCATTTCTGTATATTTATGTTACATGTATGTTGGAATCTTTATTTAGTTTCTTTCTCTTTTTTGCAGACGTCTTTGGCTAATGTCATCGCGCACATGTGTAAAAATGATGCTAGTCGCAAGCTACGATACGTTAAGCTCTCTGCTGCGATGGCCGGTGTCCAGGAGGTAAAGGAAGTCATTAGTATCGCTAGTAATCATGCTAAATATGCGCAGCATACGATAGTGTTCATGGATGAGATACACAGATTCAACAAGATGCAGCAAGATGTGTTTCTACCGCATGTCGAATCGGGAATCATTACTTTGATCGGGGCCACAACGGAAAATCCCTCGTTCAGTTTAAATTCTGCATTGCTGAGTCGATGCAGAGTGATTGTTTTGCACAAATTATCTATCGCAAATCTGCTATCGATCTTGAAGCGTGCAGTAATTTCGCTGGGAGGTATAATACATGCATCTCCGAATAAAAGCGAAAACACTTTGCAAGATATCGATGAAGAAAACACGCTAGAGAAAAACAAAGTCATCGAGAAGGAACCATCCTGCAATACAAAATTCATTATAGACGAACCGACAATAGAGTGGTTGGCTGAAACTTGCGATGGTGATGCTCGAATAGCGCTGGGAGGATTAGAAATGGCAGTACGATGCAAAGCACCAAATGAGAAGGAATTTCTAGACGTTGGTCCAGCCATAATAACGCTTGATGACATTAAGGAAAGCTTAAAGAAAACGCATATGTTGTACGACAAGAAAGGCGAGCAACATTATGATACAATTTCTGCATTACACAAGTCTGTCAGAGCCAGCGACGAAAATGCTTCTCTTTATTGGCTAACTAGAATGATCGCCGGCGGTGAGGATCCGGTTTATATCGCGCGAAGATTGGTGAGGATGGCTAGCGAAGATATCGGTTTAGCTGATCCGAAAGCTCTTGGTTAGTAAATCGTTTATTTATGATTTTCGATAACGCGCATATAT